AGGAAGCCACCTGAGGACCAGAGTGCACGCATGGAGAATCGCCAGTGCCCCCTGGCACCCCAAATTAAATCTGGGCAGTGTGAAATGCCCAGCCAAGAGTTGGCAGAACAAAGGCAGCAGACAGACATAAAGAGCAGCCCCGCTTTCCATCCTTTTATTAAACAGCTTAATTTTTTTTTTAACAGAAAATAATGGAATGTTGCCTTCCAGAATCCATAGGATTTTCCATTCTGAGTCATGCACGATGCTGCTTTTCCGATACAGTTAGTTATAGATGCAAAGAGAGAGCACTAAAGCCTTAACTGAATGCCTACATTTGACGGACACAATTGGGTTTATTTCTCCTGGGCAGCCTATCTCCGTGGCCTTCTGGGTGGCCGAGATACGTTCCACCTTAATTCTGTGGTGAGACTGGAGGCCCTTTGCTTCACGTGTAGAACTTCAGTCCATACAAGAGAGTTTGCAGCTCTTTGGATGGATAAAGTCATACTGGAAACTGACAAGAAGGCAATGATAAACTTGCATCTGTTTCTGTAACAATAATGCTTTAGGAGGTGAGGTGCAAGGAAAGGCCTATCCGCTGTTCAAAACGTCTCAAGAACACTTGCCATCTCCTTGAATTGGCTGTAGAAGTTCTAAAAGGGAAAACAGAAATAAAGTGGTGCTGAGAGGAAACCAACAAGGGCCGGTTTGGTCACATTCAAAATCTCGTTCAGAAGCAGAGTGAGCTCCAGCACGCCAGACGTGCACACACGGCCAACACACGCCTCCTTTCTTTTCACTAACGCCTCTTTGTGGAACCGGCCAAGGGCTGAGTGATACCTGTGTTGCCAGAACGTTCACTTTTAACTCAAAGCACCTCGCTGCATGTTCCATCACAGCCAGTGCTTTAAGGCTAGCAACAGCCAGTGAAACGTCATCCTATTTAGCTCTGAAAAGCAAAGGGGAACAGATGCATGCTTGCACACAAAAGTTTAGCCCCACCCGCAATTGTATGTTTCAATCAATCCTGAACAGAAAATAGCACAACCCCCGCACAGTACAGTAAGACATCTTATGTGGTTTTTAATGTGTTTTCAATCTGCTATGCATCATTGTATGCCAGCCAGAGACTTCTTGGAGCTGAGCAGCCCTAACAAATCCAAAAAATAAATAGAATAAAAATCTTCCTGCAATTCTGAATGTCTACTTACTATTAATGGGTGGCTCTTTGCAGTTCAGAATAAGAAATCAGTGAATATGGCAGGCCAAATAGTTTGGGCGCTCTTTTACCCGGGACTCAGTAACACCTCCTTTGGCAGTAATAACTGCTTCCAAAAGTTTCCTATAGTTAGCTAAAGGTCTGTCTGGCTTCTGGACATTTTATTTTTTTCTGCTCTTCCTCACAGAACTCTTAGCTCAGAGATACTCAGAGGTCTCCTTGCATGCACTGCATGTCTGAGAACTCCCCCAGATTTTCAGTAATATTCAAGGCCATTCCAAAACCATGATCATTATTATTATAATAATATTCATGGATCACCTGGAGGCTGTTACCTTGTCTCACTGAAATACCCATCCTCTTTTCAGCATCCATTTCTTGATTCGCTTGAGGGACATTAGCTTGAGGTCCAAAAGATAGCTAGATGTGGAGTCCTTGGGGTTCTCTGAGCTTGGTTCTTTTCTTGCAAACGTTTCATTACCC